GGCGCAGGGGCTGTGGAGCTGCAGCCACAACTGATGTCAGAGAGGCGCCCAGGCGCTCGGGGCGGGAAGGGTACTGAACGCACCCGTCACCTCAGCACTGCGCGTTTTCCCGAAAGCAAAAGGGAGGCCTGGCGGCTGCCTGCGCAGGACACACACCGGGTCACATCTGTGAGGACGCCGGCCGCAGCACGGGGCGGGGACCGCGGCACTCAGTACCTACCAAGAAAGGAGTGACTCCCAGCCTAAGCCCACAGGAGCGCCGTCCCACAGAACTTTCTGCGATGCCCCAAAGGGTCTACGCTGCGCTATCCGATACGGTGGCGGCTGGCCGGCCACACGGGACTGCCGGGCTCTCGGAACGTGGCAGGCTGTGGGGCCGAGGAGCTGGGCTGGTACTTGTATTTAATCTTAATTAAAGTGAAGTAGCCACGTTTTGCCAGTGGCTTCCCCAGCGTGATCCCTGGTTCTGGAGAAAAACGCTGACCTCAGTCTGAGGACAGCCCGCTGGCAGCCCAGTACGAGTCCAGCGCCCCAGAACACGGTTGAAGCCACTTCTATCATTCAGAGAATCAAAATCGTAGGACAAAACGGAGCAAGTGAAGAGAAACAGAAGTCACAGAGGTGCAGGGAACACTGAAACACAGAGACTGAGAAGCACCCGTGCAGGAAACGGAGAAACAGCCCAACAGCAAAGGAAAATTGACGAGAACAGCGCCTGCAAAGGTCACAGGTGAAGGAGGTTCCAGAGGAAAGAGGAAGGCAGAGGGTGACGGGAGGCGGGGGCACCGGGTGGGAGCGGGCCTGCGGGGTGTCCCCTGTCGGAGCACAGCAGGGTGAGGCGTGGCCAGAGACAGCGGGAGGGCACTGGCCTCCGCTCGAGCTGCAACCCTTGCAAACGACAGAAGGTCCGTTGGATGAAACCCTAAGCCGCCGCCCGCCGGATGGGGCTGAGTCCGCGCAGGTTAGCGCTGAGCAGGGACACCGGCTGCCCTCGAGGGTCCACTTAAATGGTCACTTTTCTGGGTTTAGTTCTCTGGATACTGGGATGCTGCCTTCTTTATTCCCGTCACAACACAGCCATGTAGTATTTATTCGTATTAAAAATAGTGAATACATTTTCTTTTTTAAAGACTTTATTGTTAAGTAATCTCTATACCCAATGTGGGGCTTGACCTCATGACCTCGAGATAAAGAGTTGCATAGGCACCACGCATACATTTTCTTTAGAAAAAATTAATTTTAGGGGCGCCTGGGTGGCTTAGTCGGTTAAGCGTCTGACTTTCGCTTAGGTCATGATCTTGCGGTCCGTGGGTTCGAGCCCCGCGTCGGGCTCTGTGCTGACTGCCAGCTCAGAGCCTGGAGCCTGTTTCAGTCTGTGACTCCCTCTCTCTCTGACCCTCCCCTGCTCACACTGTCTCTCTCTCTCTCCTAGAAATAAATAAAACATTAAAAAAAAAAAGAAAAAATTAATTTTATATCCAAGTATTTTTTCAGATTCCCAAGTCCACTGGTAAGATTTACAAATTTTCTCCCATAAAAGTTCGTGGCAAACTCATTTATTACTGAATTTTTAAAAATATAAGTAATTCACGTGATCTGAAACCCCAAACCGTATCAGAAAGAATGCAGTGAAAAGTCCATACTGTCCTTCACTCTTGATATCCAAAGTGCAGACATGTGAATAATCATTTTTATGAATTTCCTGTGTCCAAGACTTTTTATGCAAATCCAAAAATACATTCCTCCTTTTTCCAACTTTCTGACACAAAAGTAGGTTATTATTCACATTCTGTACCTTCCTTTTTTTCACTTAAACATATATCTTAGAAATCTTTTCATATTAGCGTAAAAAGGTCTTCCATATCCCTTTAACATCACGACAATTGACACTAAACAGAAATTAAAACTGCAAATCCCAACCTTGAAAATAAGAGGGATTTATACGAGCCTAGGCACTGAGAGTGAGTTATCAACCTTGGAATTTGCTAATCATCTTTTAAATACCTTCAAAACCCCCCACAAAACCTGAAAGCAGTTAAAATCTACAACAGTTAGAGTAAGCCTATTTGCTTTCATGAGCTAAGAAAAACATTCTAAACACTTAGAACCTCATATATTTAAACCATAAATAAAATTCCTAGAGTAGTTTCTTAGAGGAAATAGGTGCTGTACTCATAAAAGAGGCTGCATATAAAGCCCCTTTACCCATTAAACACCCTCTGGAAGCAGTTCACTGGTGACCCTCAGAGCAGGGCAGCGGGGCATTTAACTCCAGTAATTACTGTCCAGAGCAGCGGACTTTGGGCGACAATAAAAGCGAGTGTCCCAGTTCGGCTGCTGTGATCCTCAGCTCGCACATCCTGCTCTAGTGCAATTAGCCCACAGAGAGCTAATTACCTAGCGGGGGACGTTGGTCTCACTGCCACCTCACTTCCTCCAGCACTAATAAACACCAGGCAGCTAGGGTCGCACCTAATTAGCCGGCTGCATTCGTGTTTACAGGGCAGTTTCAGCTGATGATGTGCTCTCCGCACACAGTTCATTTCAAAGACTGCTTTCCGAGCCAAAAGAAATGGCTCCTGTCCCACTAGAGGACAGCATTTTACAAACCAGAAGAGGAATCTTCAGGGTAGCAGAACTCACCTGCCAGAACACAGGCACTACCACCAGAGCGCCTTGCAGCAGCTGCCTAGATGACCCGGTCCCCGAGCTCCCACCAGGGCCGGTATGGATTTTTGCCCCTTACACTCTATTAACTACTTGCCTAGTAAACTCACAAGCAACCACTAACCTATCACTCAAAATAAAGAAAAATGTTTCAAGATTACAGGCACACTTACCTAAGCACAAATTAGCCACATTTTGATTTGTATGTGTTGTTTTGTCCCTTCCAAAAGCTTATTTCAAAGTTTAGAAGAAAAACATCAGAGTGCTAGAGTAAGCTGTCAGGGCAAGCTGGTAGAGAGAGCTATGGGGAGGCCGAAAAGACATGTATCATATTGGGTCTAAAACACAGGCATGGGTCCAGTGTGGGTTTTTAAATTAATAGAGTTCGTTTTAGTGTCATTTATTTTTAAACCTTAAGTTCAAAAGGTTTTTTTTTAATGTTTATTTTTGAGAGAGAGAGAGAGAGAGAGAGAGAGAGAGAAAATGGCCAGGGAAGGGGCAGAGAGAGGGAGACAGAGGATCCCAAGCAGGCTCTGCACTGATAGCACGGAGCCCAATGCGGGGCTTGAACTCAAGAACCGCAAGATCATGACCTGAGCTAAGTCAGACGTTTAACCGACTGAACCACTCAGGCGCACCTATTTTATTTTAGAGAGAAAGATAGAGTATAAGCAGGGGAGAAGGGCAGAGGTAGAGCGAGAGAATCCTAAATAGGCTCCACACTCCAAGTAGAGCCCAATGTAGGGCTTGATCAATGACCCTGGGATCATGACCTGAGCTAAAATCAAGAGCCAGACACTCAACCGACTGAGTCACCCAGGGGCCTTGAATCCCAATGTCTATATTGGTTGCTAAGACTAAACTCCACTTTCAATGCCAAGATACTCTAGAAAAACAAGCTGATTTCATTTAACACATTACAGGCCACTTGAAAGCCTCACAGGCCAGAGAAACAGACTCAAAAAGGTTCAATTTGGTTTAGAAAAGAAAAACAAACTTTCATTTTCCATGAAACGCTTGCACAATTGATATTCTATATCCTATCTTATCAGAAAATAGCAGATGGACACCGGGTTGGTTCAGCTGGTTGAGTGTCTGACTCTTGATTTCGGCTCAGGTCATGATCTCCCGGTTCGTGAGTTCAAGCCCTGCGTCGGGCTGTGTCCTGACAGCGTGGAGCCTGCATGGGATCCTCTCTCCATCTCTCTTTGTCCGTCCCCTGCTCGCTCTCTTTCTCTCTAAATGTTTGGTAGAATTCCCTGGAATGCCATCTGGTCCTGGACTCCTTTGCTGGGAGATTTTTGATTATGAATTCAATTTCTTTACTGGTTATGGATCCGCTCAAATTTCTATTTCCTCCTATTTCAATTTTGGTAGTTTATATGTTTCTAGGAATTTGTCCATTTCTTCCAGATTGCCCAATTTGTTGGCATATAATTGCTCATAATATTCTCTTCTTACCGTTTGTATTTCTGCTGTGTTATTGTGACCTCTCCTCTTTCATTCCTGATTTTATTTATTTGGGTCCTTTCCTTTCACTTTTTGATCAAACTGGTAGGGGCTTATAATTTTGTTCATTCTTTCAAAGAACCAGCTCCTGCTTTCATTGATCTGTTCCACGGTGTTTTTTTATTTCGATGGCATTGATTTCTGCTCTAATCTTTATTATTTCCTGTCTTCTGCTGGTTTTGGGTTTTATTTGCTGTTCTTTTTCCAGCTCGTTGAGGTGTAAGGTTAAGGTTCTCTCTCTTAAAATAAATAAACAAACTTTAAAAAACAGCAGATAGGGGTACCTGGGTGGCTCAGTCGGTTAAGCGTCCAACTTCGGCTTAGGTCATGATCTCGCAGTTAGTGGGTTTGAGCCTCACGTCAGGCTCTGTGCTGACAGCTCAGAGCCTGGAGCCTGTTTCAGATTTTGTGTCTCCCTCTCTCTCTGGCCCTCCCCTGCTCACGCTGTCTCTCTCCCTCTCTCAGAAATAAATAAAATATTAAAAAAAAAACACAACAAAAAACAACAGATAAGGGGCGCCTGGGTGGCTCAGTAGGTTAACCCTCCGACTTCAGCTCAGGTCATGATCTTAATGTTCATGAGTTTGAGCCCCACATCGGGCTCTGTGCTGATAGCTCAGAGCCTGGAGCCTGCTTCAGGTTTTGTGTCTCCCTCTCTCTCTGTTCCTCCCCCACTCACACTCTGTCTCTCTCTCTCAAAAATAAATAAAGAATTAAACAACCAAACAAACAGCAGATAAAACTGACACAGGTGAAGGCCAATCGAAGCAGACCCCAGGAGGAAAGCGTACTTCGGGGTTCACACAGTGGCCGTGGGGACTTGCCTGACTTTGGGCACCACCATCCGATGCTGCACCATAAGTGTGTGGCCGATGGACGCCATTAGAGTGAAGGCCTCCTCGCTGGCTGAGTCCCTCCAGACCAGGTTTAACAGGGTGTTGGTCTGCTGTTTCGTGTCCAGCTTCTTCAGGCACTCCTCTGTGATGTACGGTACGGAGAGTCGACCGTCCTCCTGAAACACACCAGAGAAACTGCTCTAAGTGACCTACGCGTCATTGGGAATGAACCTCTACACTCCAAACACACATAACATCTTACTTTACTTCAAGTAAAAATGCAAAATAGCCATTACCTAAAAGTTACCCACATCACCATGAACATACCAATCTCTCTCCAAATGCGTCCATTAAAGTACTATGAAATTCTTCACTAATTTTGCCCAGCATAACAACACAGGGACTGTAAATACTCAGTTTTTGCCTACTGATGGGACAATATTTTCAGTACTGACATTTTAAGAAAAATGTATTTCAAATTTTTAGATTCCATTGTACTAAGCGTACATGTGTGAGAAAACATTTTCATCTGACAGAGCCTCCACTTTAAATTATTTAGGAGATCACAGGTTAAGCAAAAATAAAATATTAAAGAATTTATTTATAACATTTACTCATTTTTGAGAGAAAGAGACAGTGCAAGTGGGGAGGGACAGAGAGAGAGGGAGACACAGAATCCGAAGCAGGCTCCAGGCTCTGAGCTGTCAGCCCAGATCCTGACGCGGGGCTTGAACTCACAGACCATGAGATCATGACCTGAGCTGAAGTCAGACACTTAATTGACTGAGCCACCCAGACGCCCCTAAAGAATTTACTTTTTAAAAAATCAAATGAAATATATTTTCTATCATAATTTCTTCAAAGATCTGATTCATCAACTAAAACCTGAACTAAGATGCTATGCATTTGCCTATTTGGGGTATTCATCAAAGATACATCCTTGTTTCACATATGTATGCATATATCCAAGTATACATCAATATAAAATATATACACAACACTGGATATTGCTCACTGCCCTGCTTGGAAACTTAGATGGATATAATTTATGTAATTTATAATAATCTACCAAATAAAACATTGCTTTAGATAAAAGTAATAAATTCTATCTGCCAACCTTGAATGTATAAACAAGATGCACCTAATGAACGGAGTTGGGGCCCTGGTACTATTGGAGCACACTCGTATTTTTTAGTAGTGCACAGTGTACACATTTAAAATACATTATACACAAACAAGAACTAAACCAATTACACAGAAACCTAAGAGTCTATAAACAGTAAAGTCTGACTCTGGAAAAATCCCATTCAACCAAATTAGATTCTACATAATTATCATAGGAGAGAAAAGGCAATATACAAGCAGCCATCAGAAGATGTGACCCAGAAATAAAGAAAAGATCTCGAGTCACCCTGTGAGTACCTGGCCCACACCTGGGTCACCGGTTCTGAACCCACATGTGGACAGGAAAGAAGTGACAATAACCAAGGCAAGGGAAAAATGAAGAGGAAAAAAAATGAAAAAGAAACAAAGTACAAAATTATATATCTAATAAAAAAGACCTTGAAACCCTTATATATTACATGAGAAAAACAAAGCGGAGTAAAATTTCCCCAAACAGAAGTATCAAGCTGCATTTTTTAAATGTTGGAAAGCTGTGTCACAAGCAAGTGAGCCTGTGTGTTTTCTACTACTTCCGTCTTCACATCCCGCTCACGCCCGCGCCCCCGGTGAGGTAGGGTTTCCTAATATTTCTCCAGCAGATACACATGGCCTCATCCTCACGTGGACACTAGTTGTATGTATAAACAGCATTTTAAGGGGCGCCTGGGTGGCTTAGTCGGTTAAGCGTCCGACTTTCGCTTAGGTCATGATCTCGCGGTTCGTGGGTTCGAGCCCCGCGTCGGGCTCTGTGCTGACTGCCAGCTCAGAGCCTGGAGCCTGTTTCAGTCTGTGACTCCCTCTCTCTCCGATCCTCCCCTGCTCGCGCTGTCTCTCTCTCTCCTAGAAATAAATAAAACATTAAAAAAAAAAAAAAAAAACCAGCATTTTAATTTCACAGATTCTCTAGGAGGTAATTAAGCATTAAAAAATGTCTTCTATGGGGGGCCTGGGTGGCTCAGTCAGTTAAGCATCTGACTTCGACTCAGGTCACGATTCTGCAGTTTGTGGGTTTGAGCCCTGCGTCGGGCTCTGTGCTGACAGCTCAGAGCCTGGAGCCTGTTTCAGATTCCGTGTCTCCCTCTCTCTCTGACCCTCCCCCGCTCATGCTCTTTTTCTCTCCTTCAAAAATAAACATTAAAAAAATTTTTTTAAGCGTTTTCTAAAAACAAAAGTTTTATCTACATTCCATCTACAGAATCCCACTTTTTTTTTTAACCACACAAAAAATTCACGCTTCAGCGAGCAGCTGAGTTCCGACAGATGCAGGAGTTCCGGCACCCACCGAGACACTCCGCTCTGCCCCTCTGTAATCATCCAACCCTGCCCCAAGCTACAGGGGGCAGCGGCTAGTGTGTGTCTCCTTATTTTAGGGCTTTTATCATCTCTGCTAACAAAGCCATGTGTACCCAGAAGGCCGTACTAGCACCCCTTTAACGCACTTCCCCGGAAAACCCAAGCAACTCCTGAGTATCTTCTTCCTGGGATTCCATTTAGTATTAACCAATGGGAACTTCCTAACAAAAAATATAACATTTAAACCTATTATAGCCATATCTCAAGGTATTTTAATTCTGTAGTAAGAGCAGAGGTCAGCAGTAGATATATCACTGAAGACACACAAATTGTGTGTGTGTATAACGCAAAGCCTTTTATTCCTTGAAAAGACACCGCAGATCATGCTGGGTGAGAAACAGGAGAAGGGGACTCAGGGACTGCCTGTGACAACACGCTCACAATTCACTTTCAAATAATCATGACATCTGCATTCCACAAAACTGGCAAAAATTAACAGCAGACATTACTTGGTGTTCACAAGATAGGGTAAGGAAGAACTTAACCTTTTTCTTCCCCTTAGGGCTGGGAGAAGGGTGGGGGGCGGTGGCTGCTGACGGGCCCCGCTTCTGTGCAGACCACGGAAAGATCCACAGAGCGGTGGTGGCTGCAGTTACAGGTTAACATACTGAGCAATCACTCAACCGCACATCACCTTTTTAAAAGGGTGAATTTTATGGTGAAGTGTATCTCAATAAAGTTGCTATAGAAAAGCTCTTAAAAATAAAACAGTGCTTGGTGTGTGGTAAATACCCTTCCTGAGAACTAGGAACTTAACCTTTCAATCCAACAATTTTGGTTCTAAGAAATATTTCCTAACTAACAAATTAACATACAGCACGGCCTACTTTGCATAAAAGCCCCACATAATCACGTATCCTTGCAGAGACTTCTACGGCTGTGCAGGAGAAGGTGTGGGAGAACGTGCCGTCACTCCCAAGACGGGGACCTTTGGACGGACAGATGGCGGTGGAGGGGAAGGGCTTTGCCTGCAGCATGAAGGTTTTGCAAGAATGCTCTAGAATGTTCGCGATACAGCTAGGAACGAGGACGGACACAAAGTTACAGGTGACTTCCGTGTCAAGTGCAGCGGTCTATGATGCAATCCTCTGGCTGGGCTGCGCAGCTTACCGGGGCGCTGGGCTGCTTGTCTGCCTCTTCACCCTCGTCCTCCGAGTCACTGGCTGAATCCTGACAGCTTGTGCTGGCGGGGGACACCGGCAGCTGAGAAAGAAAGTTCTGGAGCACTCGCAAGTACACCAGCAGTCCTTCCTCAGAGAGGGTCCCTTTGCAAAACAAGCAACGATAACATTTCGTTAAAAGTGATCAAAAAGAAACTGGAAAATCCAGGTACCAGTTTTCTTATACTCAGAGAGACATTTCTGACCAGAACATATTAAATTCTAATAATTCAGGTATAGACCTATATATTGAAATACATCAGAAAAAGAGGCTCTAATTCTAGAACAGGCACATGTTAGAAGTTCAGTGTAAGTGAGGATAGCATCCCTGCACTCACAGTTCTCCCTCAACTTTAGAATTTTTTTAAATCTGTGTGGCCTCATAACATGTACCTGAATCAGACTTTTTTCTTAAAGATTGTATTTTTTAGTTTATTTATTTTGAGAGGGAGAGAGCATGCACACACGTGCACAAGCAGGGGAGAGGCAGAGAGAGAGAATCCCAAGCAGGCTCCCCAGTCAGTGCAGAGCCTGACTTGGGGCTCAAACCCACACACTGTGAGATCATGGCCTGAGTTGAGATCAAGACCTGGATGCTCAACTGACTGAGCCCCCCAGGCGCCCCTTAAAGATTTTAAAGTCCTATCTACACTCAATACAGGGCTTGAACTCACAAGCCCGAGATTGAGAGTCACATGCTGCTATTGAATCAGTCTCTTTCTCACGTGCCTGGAAATGCTCCCCAGGGACACTATCTAGGCCACGGACCTTTAGCAAATACACTCTTCCAAGAAACTCCCACCCCAGAGGCCACCTTGACAGCACACACCTGCCCCTGACTCCCTTCCGGTGCCTCATCTGCGACCACCGCGTGTGCGTGAGGTCAGCTAAGACAGATCTCGTGCCCCGTACCCAGGTAATTGTCGCCGACGGTGAGAACGAAGAAGAAGAGCCATGGCGCCCCGCCGCCCGTCTGGGGACACCTGCTCCGCAGCGACGACAGCGCACTCAGATAGGGCTCGTACGGGAAAGCGGTCTGCGTGTCCGCTAAGGCCGGAATGATGAAATGAAAAATCTGATCTGTGAAAGGTGCTGCCAACAACTCCTCGGTGAAGGCTGTGAAGACCCGCCGCCTGAAAACGGGAAATGGAAGCTTCCATCATAACAGATCATTCATAAGACCACTGTTAAAGTTAACTTGCAAAATATTCTTTTCTAAGTTAAATGAAGTTAAGCATCCAAAATCCACTAGGTCGCCATGAAATTTACTTAACTGATCTGTGCCTTCCCATTGAGAAAACTCTGCCACATTTTTATATCTTTCAATAGCTACTCGAAGGCAGAAAAATAACCAGATCATCAGAATTATAAATTTATATCAGGGCACAGGCCAAACAGACAGTAAATTTTTTTAAAACTAAATCACATTAATAAAATAAAAATCTGACTTTCAAATGTATATGTAAAATAGCATACTGTATAAAAGTTATCATTAGATACAGAACTTGTGAACTTATAAAATCAATAAATTATTCCATTCTCACCTTGCACCTTCGGGACACGAGTTGTAAGTAAAGTGCAATGGTTTCAGAACATTCTCTAGCAGAATTTTTGCTATAGGAACTCGGGATATATCAGAATATTCAATACTTGATGGAAGCTTGCTGTTAATTAGCAAATAGAGAGACCTATAATACCCTAAAAGAAAAGAAAAGCACGTATTTAAAATTTGGTACCTTAATCATAATGAGGGAAAAAGGTGTCAGTTTTTAAATGCTTTTTATAAATCTCTATAGGTCCAAATATAAGTTAATTCTTCAACTTTTTTTTACAGAGAGAGGGAGACAGCATGACTGTGCGCATTTGTGCAAGTGGGGGAGGGACAGAGGATCTTTTTTTTTGTTTTTGTTTTAAAACATTTTAAATAATGTCTTACTTATTTTGAGAGAGACAGAGCATGAATGGCATAGGGGCAGAGAGAGAGACACAGAAGCTGATGCAGGCTCCAGGCTCTCAGCTGACAGCCCAGCACAGGTCTCGAACTCACAAACTGCAAGATCATGACCTGAGCTGAAGTCGGAAACTTAACCGACTGAGCAAGCCACTGAGGCGCCCTGGAAGAGCGAACATCTTGAGCAGGCTCTTTGCCCAGCTCAAAGACTGATCCAAAGCCTGATGCAGGTCTAGATCTCACAACCATGAGATCATGACCTGAGCCAAAATCAAGAGTCAGACACTTAACCCACTGAGCCACCCAAGTGCCCCTCAACTTTTTTTTTTTTTTAATAGCTTAGCTATTGGCTCCTATATTTTAAATTTTAATAATTTATTTTAGTAATCACTACACCCAACATGGGGCTCGAACTCACAACCCAAGATCAAGAGTCACATGGATCACTGACTGAGCCAGCTAGGTGCCCCTTGAACTTTTTATTAAGAAAAAATTAATCACATAAGTAGCTTGAAATGGTTATGTAAACTCCATGTCATCATCTGTCATCATCTGACAACAATGATCAATTATAGCCCATCACCCACTCCTCCATTCATTGGGCAGCAAATCTAAGATATAATTATTTCAGCGTTATCATCAAAGGACTTTACGTTTCTTAAAAATACCATTATGACAGGGCACCTGGGTGGCTCAGTCAGTTAAGTGTCCCACTCTTGATTTCGATTCAGGTCATGATCTCACACTTGTGAGATCAAGCCCTGTTATCAGGGTCTGTGCTGGGTGTGGAGCCTGCTTGGGATTCTCTCTGTACCTCCCCCTCTCCTCTCAAAATAGACAAACATTTAAAAAATATCATTATGACAGCTAAAATAAGTTAATAGTTACTCCTTGCCATCACAAGTATCTAGTCAGTGTTCAAGTCTCCAACTCTCTCATGCTATAAACCTTATTTAACTAATTTGTTTGAATCAGGATCCAATTAAGACCCATATGTTACTACGGTTTTCAGCTGCCTCCTAAGCCTCCTCCAAGTATGTAGCTACTTATGTGACTTCTTTTTTTTTTATTTTATTTTTATTTATTTCTAGGAGAGAGAGAGAAACAGCGTGAGCAGGGGAGGGTCAGAGAGAGAGAGGGAAACGCAGACTCTGAAACAGGCTCCAGGCTCTGAGCTGGCAGTCAGCACAGAGCCCGACGCGGGGCTCGAACCCACGAACCGCGAGATCATGACCTAAGCGAAAGTCGGACGCTTAACCGAC